AATAAGCAGACCAGTGGAATTTCGCCAAGATATAATGCGATTTTACAGTAAACAAATACTTAGGAAACTAGAAGCACAGCTGCAGGATAATGAGATGTGGTGGATCAGTAGTAGTGCGCCAAACCATGGGCATGGGATGATGTGGGCTTCGGGCTGTCCTAAACAATTAATCAATCATAAATAAACGACCGAAATTAGAAAATTATTAGAAGACCAGAGGTATCATGTGAGAAAACATTGTACACAGGCGGCCGAATACAGGCCTCAGAGGAACTTATATGTTCCTGCAAGATGGCGAAGGGCAAGAGGTAATCACTCTAGGCGGTTTATGGTGGACTTAAAGACTAGCAGTTTAGTTTTTCTCACAATTAGATGGGTAGGCCTCGTGACTCTATTGAAGTTCACTTAGCCCTGCCGTATGAAAGGCCATCTCGTCCAGGGTGGACTGTAGTTCCGACAGCCAAGGCCTCATCAGCATTCTCAGAGATTCGAATCTGATCGAGAGTATCGTGGCGATACATTTAACCTACTACACTACTCATCTCGTTGTCGGAAAAACCCAACCATCGGTCGTTAAAATCACCTAGAATGATCTAATTGTTTTTCGAGACCACCAGTAGATCGCGCATAAGATATTTATTTACCCCATTTCGTAAAGGTTATAAAGGACGGATAGTTTAGTTTTCCTACAATGATACGGATATAACTTACGTCTCCATTGAGTTTTACGTAGTCTTGATAACCAAAGCATATTCTCATTCCGGATAAACAGCGGTTTCATCCTGCAGAAAATCGATGACACGTCCGTACGACGTGATGATGCAACAGCAATTATATTCTCTACGTGTTCATGTTAAAAAAATCATCCATTGTTGGCCAGTTTTGATGTACATCTTCCTTTGTATAATTTGCCATAATTAGCTTTCGATAGTATCAGTAATTCTTAAGTATCTACTTAGTCGTATATACGAAAAGTATTTATCTAATTCCGTTGAGATGATGAAGGACTGGTTGTTGAATTTCTTCACTGTGATATGAACAGGCCTTACGTTCACATAGAATTTCACATAGCTTCGCTTTCCCAAAAGGTATTTTCATCCGGGATGAAGTTGAATACAGATTCGACCTCCTCGAGGTCTCATCAGCACCCCCAGCGGGACTCGAACCATAACAGCGACGCATATAATCTCAACACTCTAGCCACTACGCCACACTGCTTCGAGTGCCTTTTGGTCACAGGGCAATGCACATTTCAAGGAACTTCATCAATAATCTCACTGCAGAATGTAATATGGTAAAACGCCTGATCTTCTTTAAAATGCATATCCACTCAGTGATCCAAAGGCACTCGAAGCAGTATGGCGTAGTGGCTAGCGTGTCGAGATTATATGCGATCCTGTCATGGTTTGAGTCCCGCTAGGGGTGCTGATGGGACCTTGGAGAGGTCGAATCTGCAGTCAACTTCATCCCGGATAAAAATACCTTTTGGGAAAGCGAGGCTATGTGAAAATCTGTGGAAATGTAAGGCCTGCTCATATCACAGTGAGGAAATTCAACAACCAGTCCTTCATCAACTCAGCGTAATTTGGTAAATACATTTCGTATATATGACTAAGTAGTTAGTCAAGTTTTACTGATATTATCAAAAGCTAATTATGCCGAATTATACAAAGTAAAATGCAAATCAAGAGTGTCCAACAATGCATGATCTTTTAGTATGAGCATGTAGTGAATCTAATTACTGTTGCATCCTCACGTCGTACGGGCGTGCCATCGATTTTCCTTGAGGCCTTCACGAAGCATTTCCACATACACACTTTAAGCAACTTGGGCGCGCATCAATCGTCTCATTTGGCCTTGAATTCTAACTTAATGTAATGAAGATAAAAAGACTAGGATGGTGTATCCTTTCGTGCGGTCACAGTCTCCTTTCGTTGTATAGAAGTTGTTTGACCTAGTTGTCGCAACTTGATCATATTGGCAGGAAGACCTAGAGCAACGCACCTTGTCCGGAGTTCCTAGCATGCATGATCATTTCCAGAGTCGGACCGTGGACTTGGTACATTCATAGACGTTTCACCAGCATCGTCATTGAGCCTTGCCATTCTTAGCACCACACTACAACTCGTCGAGGAGGCAAGTGAAGTTGATCCTTCGACCAAATGTGTGGATGATAGGAGGATATAGGATAGGAGGATAGCCCAAGACAAAAAGAGAGATTCCACAACTGTTTAGCCCACATTTGGTCAAATGACCGACTTAAATTGCCTCTTTGACGAGTTGCAATGTGGTGCTAAGAATGACAAGGCTAACTGACGATGCTGGCGAAACGTCTGGGAAAGTACCAATTCCATGGTCCGACTCTGGAAATTATCATACCATGGACTCCGGACAAAGTGCGTTCCACTAGGTCTTCCTACCAATATGACCAAGTTGCGAAAACAAGGTCAAACAACCTACAATTTGATGAGTTTCTCTCAGGAAAAAAAATCCAGGCCTGAACGATGGCTCAGTAACGGCCGAATTCATCGGGGGCCTGCCAGCACACCGTCCCTAGCGTCGGCCATTCAGCACCTGCATAATAGCAGTGTGTTGGATGCTCAAGTGTGAAGAAAGGTCGCGCCAAGTCGGGAGTCGAAACCCAATTAAAGAACCCTAACAAGCGAGTTATTAAATCGAAGTCGTTCATGCCAGCCCACCCCGAGTCAACACAGAGTTGCACATCAATACAGCCTGTGAGTCTGGGGGCTTTCGGTTTGGCTACACCATGGGGCCGAGATTTCGCCATCCTCGCCTATCAGGCATACAAACGACATTTATACTGCTACCAAATAAGTGTGTACATTTTCCGATTTCAACTGAAACTACAATCGACCATATCCCTCTGCCTTCTATTTATTCTGCTGTCTAATCATCTAGTCTAGGCTCAAGTCTTCACTTTGCATCAATCGACTAGGAGCCAGATCACGGCAAACATGTAAAAAGTAGGGCTATAAATCAACTTGGAAGATTTGCATCGATAGCCCTACCAAGGAATATGAAATATAAACCAGGATCAGACTGGAAACGATGAGTTTACCTTTTTTTAAGACCTGGTCTCAGCTTCGTTGGTAACCTCGTTTTAGACGCCATACGCTTAGAGTGGCTCAATTACAACGGGTAAACAGCTATACTAGCCAACTTCCTTTCTCACCTTAATGACTCATCCAAGTCGAGAGCAGAGGGCCGACTGACGGCGCAGATGCAAGGCGTCTGTCGTTGCATCAACTGCTAACTAGACCTAGTCAAATCAGGCTTAAGCCTCGTCTTCGTCGCTTAGGCGCCTAGAGGCATGACGGCGAACTAAACTGGTCTGACGATCGGTTTAAACTCGCAAGCCCTTCAGTATGGCTTGGAGGCGACGCACAAGGAGCAGTGCTACTGTCGCCACCACAGAATTACGGCAACCCTAGTGTGTTTATCCGAGTACTAGACACACACATCAAACAGATATTTCACAATACATAACATCGCAAACAAGGCCGCTCCGCCTCCAGGGGAAAAAAGGGGTATAACTAATGTACGTATATATACACACATATATATGCACATTTACGTCTGGTCCATGGATCGAGGTTGATCCACGTCGGTGCGACTCAGCCTCCAAGTGCTCGGTATGTGCTAGATCTGGCCCATGAGAGTCCTGATAACAAGGCTCGGGTAGTTGACGTGCGTAGGTGCCGGAGTCTTCTTATTTTGACCGAGGACGCAAGTCAGACTCAGAAGGTAAGAGAGTTGGCATACCCCTAGCCTTCACATCTAAAGTGTATTCTTCCCATTTCGTTTAAGGTGTTAAGGCGACCGGTGGTTGAACCAGCTCACCCAGCCTTGTTATGAGGCCTCAGGTCGCAAACGGTGAGTGAACGAGTCAAGCCTATTTGGTTACTTAAGTAACCCGAACTGATCTCTAGTTAAGGGCACTAGCCATGAGTCTGAGCACTGGCCCAAGGTGACTCTAATTTTTATTTCAAAGATTTGGTTGGTCGCAACGGAAACAGGGGAGGGGAGTTGGATTGTGCGAAAAAGTCCACGACTCATGGACTTGATGCTAAGCTTTGATCTTTACCACCGTGACAAACGTGAGAAACAATGTTTTGCGAAGAGAAAAGCGAAGTTTTATGCGAATAAAAGTTGGGTTTGGAGGGATCTCTTGGGTCATGGTTGTTGAGCTCGCTCCCATTTCGAAAGAAAGTGTTTGGTGGGAATATTCGGAGGTCGACCCCACCAGCAGACGACGGCAGATACTTTGTACCAGATGTCGGTTGGCTTCATTGGTTCTTAGTGACCTGATTGCAGGTAAAACGTGTTAAGCTTTCGTCCGTCATATGACGGACATCATCAAAGCAAAGTATCATTCTTGCAAACATATTTAAGCTGGAGAGTCCATAAAAGAATGGTTGTAAGAATGATATCCTGTTCTGATGATGTCCGTCCTACGACGAATGAAAGCTTAGCACATTTCCATCGGAATCGAATGAGAAGGCCTTGGAAACAGCGTCAACAAATATTCCAGTAAAGCTAATCGAGAGCTAATCAGGAGTTCGCCGTCGTTTTCTGGTGTGATCGACCTTCGAATCCCTTCACTAAACGCCTTACTAGAATAGAAAGTGAGCTCAACAGAAAGATTCAGCATATTAGATGGCATTTTTGTGAAATATAGTTTTACCGCCCACGCGATGTCTGTCGCAATTATACAGACTGCCAAGGCAATCCTCCTTTATTTCCTGGTGCGACCAATTAGCGAATTCCTTCGAACCAACTTTTCCTACGAATTTAAAAGTCGAGTTACACTAATTCGCGAAAGGAGCCATCTAAATCCAGTTTTCAATTCGCCCATACGAGACACGATGAAGAAGCAGCAACAGCTGCGGCCGGAAGGACTGAAAACGTCGCCATAGCAATGCATAGGCTCCATGGGTAAGTTCAAGAATGGCCATTGGAAAACGGGACACCAGCTCTGCCTTAATAAACAAAAGCGCCAGGGTCGTGCGGCCTGAATGTGTGCGTGCTAGAGTTCTGCTGAAACAGCACCTGCGAAAAATGACAATAATGCAGTCCACTCCCAGAGAAAATGCCTCCTTTGTAGGCCTAGCACAGTGAAATGCCCTGGAAAACGAAGCCACCAGAGCCTATCGTGAAGCTCTGCCTGACCCGCGATGGTGGCAAACAACGTTATCGCCAGATCACCAGCTTCATGAGCGACCTCGGCTTCCTTTCACAAACCAGACTAGCCAGATCGTCATTGGTTTTTAGGAAACCGGAATTTAAACGGACGAATATGAACAGGCTTTTCTTCCCATGTCTGTTTTGAATTAGAGAGCAATATTATGTCAGGAGTCATCGAAACCCAGTTACAATTCCCTCGTACAGGCAGCCGAAAGCTGGAGGAAGAACCTAAGGCTTGTACTTTTAAAGAAAATATGTAGAGGCTGCAAGCTGCAAATTAAGGATTTACTCCCAATTACAGTTGCTTCACTTTCTCCTCACATGAAATCACTGATGAACTAATTCTTCGGTCTAAAAAGGTTTCAACAGTCAATGCCATATCAACTAGTTTCGAAAGGTTATGGAGCGTGGCCCCGCCATTTGTTTTGTTGAGGATGGGATAGAAGAATCAGGCTTGAGCCGAGGAATATGGTAATGCCAACATGCAAGCATACAGCATCAGTAATAGATCATGCT